CAAGGTGCCTCACAGGTTTCACGTACGATTTCATTTTCAAATCTTTTTTCATTGCTCTTTGGACTTTCATAGCTGAAACTCCTCTCTCACGTGCCAAACCTCTTATGATCTGAGTTGGGTTTTTTCTCATTGATCACTTTAGCTCTAAGTTGCAATGATGATCCCTCTTGCTGTTGTGACTTCCCGATTCAGTTTTCCTCTCTATTGTGCCCTCTTTTTAAAAACTTCTTCACAGTTCTCTTCATGATTCTTGAATGGATTTTGAAGATGGAAGCCAGAGTATGAATGTTTGTACCATTACTGAAGGTCTGAAGGATCTTTTTCCTCTCACCATTGCTCAGGTGGGAATACTGTGGGTCTGACACTAAACAATTTAATTTGTTCTCTTTTTAGCTGAATAATAATAATTATATTATAATTTAATAATAATAATTATATATATATATATATATATATATTTATACACGTTTCATTAAATAATATAGACAAGTGTTGTCTATTTATTTTATGTAAAATTTTTCTGATAAGTTTTATAACATTATCATTAACCGAAAAAAAGAAATTCACAATATTTATCCATTATTTTTTAATAAAATCTAAGCTTTCGGCTTACTCAAGCCATTATCAAAGATGTAAATACAAACATATCAAACAATATACGGACACGACAGTGATGATATAGTCTGTCATTGTTTTGTTTACATAGTGGATCACTAAGCAACGATGAACACGCGCATATAAGACGCTAGAAGCGAAAATCGCACCGCATCTCATGACGTCACACATGACTACACGAGAGTGAATTGTAGAATGAAATAAGGAAAGCCGTTGGTATAACCAATGGCTTCTGTTACCAATTATTGAAATTATAGACATTTAAGAATATTTGTAGAGATTCCATAGTTGATTTTGTTTAGGTTGGGTTTTAACTGTTTGATGTATAATGCTTCAAGTATTTTTAGTTTTTTGTCTATTGTTTTTATGTCGAAGTATAGTTGTGTTTTCGACAAGTATTTTACGGAATTGTGTGTGTGGGCAGGCATGTTGTTTTAAATGCCTAAAAATGTTAGAGTTTTCATTAAGATGTAGTGTCAAGCGTCGTGAAAGCGAGTTTGTGGTGTGACCAACATAAATATTATTTAATTCGTTGGAGATACACTCTCCCCAAAGGGCACTTGAATTTATAAACTATGTTCGTTTTTTTGCAAATCGCTAACCGGGGAGAAGAATCATTGCGAAGTATTAAGTTGGATATACTAGATTTAGTGTAGTATATGATTAATTTAATTTTTTTTTAGGATCTGTAGTTGATATATTAGAATTTACTAAAATTTTTAGTATGTGTTCATCTTGTTTATAATTAGTATGCATTTGATTACGATATAGGAGATTAATATATTTGAGATCAGTAGAAGCAGTATTATGTACAATTTGCTTATTATTGAGATTTCTAAGAAAGTATCTTATTTGTTCATCAACTATATAGTTTGGAAAGCTATTATTAATAAGTGTCTGTTTTATATTCTTTAGTTCACTGTAAAAAATCTGTTTGGTGGATGAATTAGTTTCTGCACGATGTATTAGATTCTTTATAATTGCTATTTTGTAGTAATATGGGCATTCGCTCTTGTAGTTAAGTGTACATGAATTTATGCTTGTAGGTTTTTGTATGGCGAAATAGTAAATTTGTTATTATTTGTGTTTATTAATATGTCAAGGAAGGGGATTTTATTATTAGTATTAAGTTCATATGTGAATTTAAGGACAGAATTATTTTGGAACCGTTTTGAAGTTGAATTATTTCATCTGTATTTTTAACTAACATAAGAATATCATCAACGTATCTTAGGTAGATTGATGGTTTTTTAAAATCTGTAAATAACTTATTTTCTAGGTTCGACATGTAGAAATTGCTGAATGTCGGGCCCAATACTGAACCCATGGAGACACCATCACGTTGTATATATATATTGTTATTATTATCAAAGAAAGGGACTTCAGTAGTACAAGTTAATAGTAGTTTTCTTAATATATTAGGATTAATTTTAAGTGGGGGTAAAGATGAGTCACTGTATATATTTCTTATGATTATGTCAATAGTTTCACTAACAGGGACATTGGTAAATAAGTTTTCCACATCAAGTGAAGCCATGATTTCATTGTCAGGTTTTTCACTTTTTAGGATTTGGATTACTTCTAATGTTGACGTAACACTATATTTACTAGGAAGATAGGGAGTAATAAGTTGGTTGATGTATTTTGTTAGATGATATACAGGAGTTGGAATTTGCGATATGATAGGACGGAGAGGATAGTTAGGTTTATGTGTTTTTATAGTGCCATATATGTAGCCAGGTCTATAATCACCAACAATTTTAGGTAGTTTTAAAGAGTTCTGTTCAGCATTATTAGCATTAATAAGTTTATTAAGCTTTGATTTTAGTTGGTTGGTCGGGTTCTTGTTAAGTTTTTAAACTTTGTGTGATCATGGAGTATGTGGTCTAGTTTTTGTTGTAATCCAATTTATTTAGGATGACAAAATGTTGGTCTTATCAGCTTTTTTTTTACAATAATGTCAGGGGTGGTTACGTAGTTCTTGTGCGGCAATTTTCAGTTGTTTAGAAAGAATTTTTGAGTAGTTTCTGCTTTTATCATGTCGTTCTTTCAGTGCCTCGGCCTTAAGTAAGTCTTTAAATTCTGGTGTAGTTTCTATTAGTTGTTCATCCTGGAGTTTAACAATGTTTTGGTATAGGGTCTCAATTTCTATTTTTTAAAAAAGTCGATTGTACTTACGGTATATATGGCAGTTAGGTCAAAGGTTAAGTAATTCTTTTGGTGTAGTTAGTTCATAGTTGGAAAGGTTAATGTATTTATCAGTTTTGTTAGGAAGAGTGATATTACCTTTGTATAATGTATTCAGTTTTTTATAATTTTAATTCGGTGTTGAGCTTCAGATTTATTGGTAATTTCCGAGTCTGTGTGTAATTTCCTCCAGTTGGTCCGGGGTAGTTATATTCTGTAGTTCATCGTAAATGTCCTGTTTTTTATGTTAAAGTTGTTTAATTTTTCTTTGGATATTTCGATTTGCCTTTTCACAAGGCTACATTTGTAATTCAAGTATTGATAGTGTTGGGGCTGCTGGATCATGTAATTTAAATTGTGTGTTTTAGCAGCATATTTTCATTTATACACGTTTCATTAAATAATATAGACAAGTGTTGTCTATTTATTTTATGTAAATTTTTTTTTTATATATTATATAAATATATATTAAGAAATGGACAAGGTCCGACAATTTATTTATTAAAGACATTTTATTATGTTTAACGTTGTTATTTTATAGATACAAGTATTTAAGCAAATGCTCTGTTTATGATAAACAGTATTAAATAACATTTACCGGCCTGAATGTCCGAGAAATTTTCATAGACGTCATTTGTTTACATTCGATACGCCAGAGCAGTTATGAATGTACGAGATTCATGGAAAGTTGGAGTTTATAAGCAGTAAATTCGACCTTGTCTACCGAACGCTTCTTTGTAGCCTAGCGGTAAGGCACGTCAGCGTATATGACGGTTCCGTATAGGATGCAGCTTCAAATCCTGTCAAAGAACGAATATTTTCTATGAAAATTTTTCGGACATTCAGGCCGGTAAATGTTATTTAATACTGTTTATCATAAACAGAGCATTTGCTTAAATACTTGTATCTATAAAAAGAACAACGTTAAACATAATAAAATGTCTTTAATAAATAAATTGTCGGACCTTGTCCATTTCTTAATATATATATATATGTATTCTGATATGTATGTGTGTGTGTATATATATATATATATATATATATATATATATATATATATATATATATATATATATATATATATATAGAAATACTGACCAGATGCGGTAGCAATAGCCGATGCACGCACTAATGGTAGAGTTATAAAAGCGCAAGATATATTCTGGCGAGAAAAATATTCTTTTTTCACCCTTTACAAGAAAAGGTTCACCCTTTACAAGGCCCGGGTGCCACTGGAGGTAGAGGGTTACGTTAGGATGCAGTTTGTGCGGAGAGGAGCGGAAAATACCAGTTAAACTTCGCCTTGAACAGGTTAAGACTGTAGTGATTGTGTAAACACCCTCTTGGGAGTCGGTCCCACAGAGCAGCGGTTTGCGAGAAGAAGCTGTTAGATTGGCACTTACTAGCACGACACAGTCACAACAGATTTTCCTTGCAGTAGGCTTAGCAGTTGATTCTTGACTTCTCGCTTTTTTTCTTCGTTCTTTTTTTTCTTTTTTTTTTTTCTTTCTTTTCTGTTTGTTGTTCTTTTTCTATTCTTTTTTCTTTAGTCTGGTTTGTCTGTTTTCTACTTCTTTTTCTTATCATTTTCTTTTTATCTTTAAATTTTTATCTTGTTTTTTGCCTCATCTGTTTTTGTTGTTTTTTTTTGTTCACTTCTTTATGTCTTCTATATTTTTTGTGTAAAAGAACTGAAAAAAATAAAAAAGCATTAAACCTTGTCGTCCTCATTATTATGCTGTAATAAAATGGAATGCAGTCTACTTTTATAAATAAATAAAAAATAAAAGAAGATATTAAAATACAACACAAAAAAAAAGAATCTAAAAGCGTACATGCAAATTTCTCTCGTTTCTTATGTTGAATATTCTTTTTGCATTATCCATGTCGAGAGTCCAGCTACAACAACCTTCACAAAATAGAAATGAGGTTGGTCGGTTAACTTTCATCTTTCCAAACGCTCCGATGAAGTTGTTTGGTAAGGAGAGAAAAATGAATACAAGAGCAATAGAGGGTTTTATGGGCTGAGTATTTAAAACCCGGTTGATTGGCTTGAAAAAAAAAGACTTTATTGTGAAGTTAAAACTGTTTATGGTAACCACCAAGTGCTGCTACTGTTAGTACGCCCACCCACACTGTTTTCGATGAAGAGACACTCAAGAGTGAAAAGGCTTTCGTAAGAGTTATTTGTTAATGACCCGATTCGATGAATGGCAGTCAAGATTGGGCTGGAAACAGCAGAAAGACTCAGTTTATTAGAGTCGGTTTGTGACAAGGAGAAAAAGTAACGCTGGGTCGGTTTGTAACAAGGAGAAAAAGTAACGCTGGGTCGGTTTGTGACAAGGAGAAAATGTAACGCTGGGTCGGTTTGTGACAAGGAGAAAATGTAACGCTGGGTCGGTTTGTGACAAGGAGAAAAAGTAACGCTGCGTTTGTTTGTAACAAAGAGAAAAAGTAACGCTGGGTCGGTTTGTGACAAGGAGAAAAAGTAACGCTGCGTCTGTTTTTTGTAACAGGGAGAAAAAGTAACGCTGAGTCGATTTGTGACAAGGAGAAAAAAACGCTGCGTCTGTTTGTAACAAAAGAGAAAAAAGTAACGCTGGGTCGGTTTGTGACAAGGAGAAAAAGTAACGCTGCGTCTGTTTGTAACAAAGAAAAAAGTAACGCTGGGTCGGTTTGTGACAAGGAGAAAAAAGTAACGCTGCGTCTGTTTGTAACAAAGAGAAAAAGTAACGCTGGGTCGGTTTGTGACAAGGAGAAAAAGTAACGCTGCGTCTGTTTGTAACAAGGAGAAAAAGTAACGCTGGGTCGGTTTGTGACAAGGAGAAAAAGTAACGCTGCGTCTGTTTGTAACAAGGAGAAAAAACAAGGAAAAAAGTAACGCTGCGTCTGTTTGTAACAAGGAGAAAAGTAACGCTGGCTCGGTTTGTGACAAGGAGAAAAATAACGCTGCGTCTGTTTGTAACAAGGAGAAATAGTAACGCTGGGTCGGTTTGTGACAAGGAGAAATAGTAACGCTGGGTCGGTTTGTGACAAGGAGAAATAGTAACGCTGGGTCGGTTTGTGACAAGGAGAAAAAGTATCGCAAGGATATTTTTTTTAAATATTTAAAGAAATCTACAATTATAATAAAGTTAATGATTTAATAAAATGTATTAGATTTTAGTTGTGCCCATAATATTCTAGCATCGATAAAACTTTGAAATAATCTTCTTTTCTATAGGCCATGTCCTCTCTAGGCGATCATGGCTGTCCAGAACTTCCAGTCACATGCAGCTCGTAATAAATTTTGTCTTTGCCTTATTTCTCCGAAATCCTGATTCACAATCAATTTACTAAGTAGGTTATGCTTTGTTTTCAGCTGTCATTCTTGCCTTCAAACTGTCCTGTAAGTATCAAATTTTCCAAGCATTCTTTCTACATTATGTATCTTTAGTAACCTCAATTGTCTCTTCCTGGTGTTAAGTATAAGTTTTCTTTTCGTTTCCATTTTCTCTAAAACTTCGTTGAATCACATGTTCGGTCCATGTGATCCCCATCATCCTTCTGTAGAACGATATTAGTGTTGCTTGAGGTAAAAAAAAAAGAGTGGGTGTGAGGTAGAAAGAAACATCGTGACTGAAATTGAAAAACTGTGAGAGAGTGTGAACGACAGATAGAAAATGAGTTTCTTTTTTTATCTCTTATAATGCGAACTACATCCGTATCCTGGGTAAGACGATAAACTACATCTGACAGCAAGGCCTTTGAGGATCATGGAACCACCTTTTAATTGCTAGTCTTCCCAGGTCCACTCTGACCCGTGTTAGTAGCATCTGCCAGGGTCCCAGCTATGGGCAAATAGTTAACCCCCCACCCACAAAAAGGGTCAAACCAGCATGAAAGTATAAAAATATGTTTTAATACCAGCAATACATTTTTTGAAAAAGTTTTCCCAGCAATACATTTTTGAAAAAAAATATTACCAACAATATATTTTTGAAAAATATATTACCAGCAATAAAAATCTTCTTGGCATTAAATAACTCATTATGGTTGATATGCCATAAAACAAAGCAAACGAAATCTTTTAAGGATTTTTCTTTTTTTTACTTTCCCTCAGCATCCTAATGTTACTACTGCCAAAGATTCTCTAATACATGAAGATGCATGATGGAAAAATGCCGAAAACTTAATAAAAACAAAGCTTTTCTTTAAGAGAAACGATCATATGATTTTTTTATGTAAAAATTAATTTTTAATCGCTTTTAGAACTTTCAGAATTTTCGTTCAAAATCCTTTTGCCTTCAACATGAGACCAAACATTTACATATATTCGGGAAAAGTATCTTTTTACGGTGAAAAGCACATTGAATTTGAAACTCTAACAAAAATCTAAAAATCGTCGGATTTTAATGAAACTTTCAGAACGTATTAAAAAAATGAATGAAATTATCTATGAAACATTTCTTTTTCAGAAAATATTGTTTTTTTTTATATCTGTTTTCGTCACTTATTTAATTTTATGAAATCTTGCGAAATTCTTTTTTGTAGCGAGTAATATTTACATTGGATATAAGCACAAATCCTCCTAGAATTTATATCCTCAAATTTGTTTGGTCAAACGGGTGGCCCAGTTACAGAAAACCAGCTCTCAATCGTAAAATAAAACAATCAATAAAACTAAGACATTATTTAATAAGATAATTACTGCTTTTTATGAATAAAATATACTATAGACACTATCGTTTTACGAAAAAATATTTTCGTGGAATAATTAAGTTTTACAAGAATTGTTTCCATTATCTTTTAATTTTAATTAGAATAATTATAAAACATTTACATCTTTTATAATTCTGTAATTTGTAGTGGTCAAGTGAGATTGTTATTAAATAAAAAAACTATTTACGAATTATAAATTGGAAAGCTTACTACAATTAAGCAACTACGATTTCTCTAAAAATAATTTTGATTTTTGTGTGTGCGTGTATAAACGTACCAATTTTTGTAAATACGGGCGTCTCCACGATTTTGAATGCAGAAATTCTCTTAGACTGTTTGTAACATAGGGCTAGAATGTCCAGTCTACGCTGCTACTAAACCTACACTCACGTGGGATGAATCCAAGCTTTTCCCAAGGCCATTAGGCAAAGGTGAATGAAACAGGCGAAAATCTGGAAATGGTGTCTGACGATGATATTGAATCTGAAGTCATTCAGAAGGAATATATGATTAAACTGAATTTAAATAATAAAAGAAAGATTTGAACAGTGTTGTCTTTATTTTCCCTTTCCTTATTATACGATTCTTGGAAATGCTCATGATAAAACATAATAGACATTCGTTGTCTGTCATATTTATCAATATTGACCCCTCTTTTAAATTAAATTTTACGAACGTTGGAAGTGTACTCTATTCGTTCTCATTGTACACACACACACACACACACACACACACACACACACACACACACACACACACACACACACACACATATATATATATATATATATATATATATATATATATATATATATATATATGTAAGCAAATATATGGATATAGATCCGACAGTATGAAGAAAAATATACAGAAAAAACAAGCAAAAATCTTAATATGCAATTATGCTGTATTAATGTTGATATAAAGTCAACGTCGGACGTTTCGGTCTATTTTAGACCATCATCAGGACATATTCATAAAACATAATTAACATTAGAACATATAAAATTCAACATGAAAAGACGATGGACATAAGAGCACAACTAATCCAAACAGATAACTGAATTTTTTTTTATATAAGATCAGCGTTCTGTTTAAATATGATCACGTCGTCGTCACGTGGGCAATGTTGTGAAAACGTATTCGAAGATGATTTCAAAATATTAAAATATTAAACAAGTTCGATTGAACTATTTTCTCATATAAACAGTTCAAGAAATCCCTTCCGTTGATATATATATATATATAGATTACTATATATATATATATATATATATATATATATATATATATATATATATATATATTTGACAATTGAAAAACTTAGTTCTTGCCGACGCGTTTCGGATTTCGACTTGACCAAGCAATGAAAGCGAAATAAAGCATTTCATTTTCAAGTCTTTTTTCAAAGCTCTTTGGATGGTCATATCCATTTTCTTGAAAAAAAATGTTTTAATAGAGATTCTTGTAAATTTCAACCGTTGGTAGCAGTGGCTGCTCGTTCAACGAATGTCTAATTTTTCCTAATAAGGAAACGACTGATATTCTCATTACGTTTACGTGATAGAAACGCAACTTTGAAAAATATAAAACTAGTTCCAGTGATTAGCGTAGAAGAATGTCCCAGAAGGTTATTTGAGAAAAATTAAAATTATAATAAGCAAAGTGCATTGAGCAACAAAAAAAATATAATTGAAGAAGCGGTGCTACGAATGTAAAAAGAAAGAAAAATGAAATTTAAGAAGAGCACTTGATAAAGATATGAAATTAACAAAACCGACGTTTTTTAAGAAAAAATGAAACGGAGAAAAGTTGATGTATAAGCTAGAAAATAAAGCAATAAGACTTAGCCAGATAATACGGGGAAGGCAGTATAATGTCTTAGGTTTTAGTTTGGTGTACAGTATATTAAAGACGACTGACAAGGTACTACGATTAATATTTTTAATTTTTCTTGTGTTCGTATAAGTGTTTTCTTTTCTGGGCACAATGTGCTGACCGTATTTGGAAAATAAAACATCCTGTAACTATAGATAAATACCTAACACTATCCATACATTCAGTTAAAAGTAAAATGGTCAGCACTTTGTGTCTAGAAAAGAAAACACTTGTACGAACACAAGAAAAATTGAATAAAAATCTTAATCGCAGTACCTTATCAGTCGCCTAACGAAACCTGTATTAAAGAGGGATTACTATATATATATATATATATATATATATTTTTATTAAAAAGACATTTTTATGTTTAACGTTCTTTTTATAGATACAAAGTATTTAAGTAAATGCTCTATAATAAACAGTATTAAATAACATTTACCAAAACCTGAATGTTCGAAAATTTTCATAGAAAATATTCGTTCTTTGACAGGATTCGAACCTGCATCCTATACGGAACCACCGTCATTTTACGCTGACGTGCCTTATTGATCGATCACAAAGAAGCGTTCAGCAGACAAGGTCGAATTTATTGTTATAAACTTCAATCTTCCATGAATAACATTTAACGAATATTTTCTATGAAAATTTCTCGGACATTCATAGAGGAGCAGTTATGAATGTACGAGATTCATGGAAGATTGAAGTTTATAAGCAGTAAATTCGACCTTGTCTGCCGAACGCTTCTTTGTGGCCGATCGGTAAGGCACGTCAGCGTATATGACAAAGAACGAATATTTTCTATGAAAATTTCTCGGACATTCAGGCCGGTAAATGTTATTTAATACTGTTTATTATAAACAGAGCATTTACTTAAATACTTGTATCTATAAAAAGAACGTTAAACATAAAAAATGTCTTTAATAAATAAATTGTCGGACTTTTGTCCATTTCTTAATATATATATATATATATATATATATATATATATATATATATATATATAATCTATATTTTGTGCCCGACGAGTTGGGTAACCAACGAAACTTAAGTTGCACACCAAACGTAAGTATATGTGTATTGATTAATATATATATATATATATATATATATATATATATATATATATATATATATATATATATATATATATATCTTAGCTCTGTCTAACCACATCTAGCACTATTATGTCTATACTTCTTGGAAAAATTTGGTAATTATTTATTTACCGACCTGCGAATACAAGCCACAACGCGTGCATACGGTTGCTCATATTTAATTATTTTATTTTCTTAACTACACACACACACACGTATATATATATATATATATATATATATATATATATATATAGAGATGCGGGAGAGATATATAGATAGAAAGAGATATAGAGACAGACAGAAAGAATCGGGCTGATATGATATATTTGAGCCTATAGTTAAACATTGGTCGGATTTATACTTGATTTTAAAGGAATAGTAGGTGTAGGGATCCGTCCCAGCGCTGGTAGTATCACAGCTACGACTAGCTTGGACCGG